TTGCATCCAGGCATCATCGTCTATGCCTCACACGACGTTCGCTATCTCTTGCCCCTATACGATGCTTTCACCAAGCAGTTGAAGTGTGCTGGTGATAACTGGTATAATAGGGTAGTGGCAGCAAGTGGTCGTCGGGCTGAATGGTACCAACATTCTGACTATCTAATCGCGACATCGGAGGCTCCTGTTATTTAATATCCAAACGTTCGCTACTGAGGCGTAGGCAGGTGTTTGCAGTATCCTACAGCCTGCTGGAGCCAGGCGAAAGTGATTGTTGCAGGGTTATTTCATCGCGCTGTGAGCACTCTCTGGGTGGGACTATAACATTTCACGTCGAAGTCGATTATTGTTGGTGGTCCACTACTGGTTAACATGCTTTTCTACTGCTGTCATCGACATCGTCTTTGCTTTTCTACTGTCTCAAGGACTTCAGCTGCATCGGTAGCATTCCACGTTATCTTATCTGCGCATTATAGTAACATTATTATTCTTGATAACTACTTGTCACAATTTGATCATTAGTTCTAAATCCCCAAATTTGTTGTGTTGTCGTCTATACGGGGTTCCGCTGGGGTTTCCAGTTTGGGAATGATCGGCGTCCAGGGTCAGCAGGGCGTCTCAGCAGTGTATGCATCCCCGCAACAACCGCAACAGGTGGATCGGGAAAGGTGTACGCACAGGTGGTTAGCCGAAGTAGTTTAGGTCGGCATTGATGTCAATGGCGATGGTCGGCCGGATATCATGGTGCCGGTTGGAGCCCAGGTGATTCTGCAGCATCAGCAACAACAACAACATTATCAACCACAGGTAGATTTGGTTCGGATGTCTGTGAAGTGATCACATTTCTCAGCCGCAATACGTGGTTTATCAACAGCAGGCGGCAACGGTACCGATTGTGGCCCCTCAAGTGCAGGTGGCGACGTTATCAGGCATGCTTATGGTTCTAATAGTAATCGTCTTAGATATCGAATCAGTCGCCTTACAGCCAGTCACAGCCTGTCTATGCTAACCCATACGCCCAGTCTCAGCATCAACAACAGGCTCAGGTGTACGGCAGCAGTCAGTACGCCCAGCAGCCACCGCAGCAAGTGCAGATGTCGGTTCAAAGTAACAAGAAAAACGACAAGGACGACACTGATGGTAGTAGTAGTAGGGCGCGGTTTCATTATCTCTATCAAGTCGGTCCTGTCAGACCACTCGGCCGGCTGTGCTTGTTGCGCTTGCCTCATGGTAATACCATGCTTTGCAGCCCTCGGGGCTCTACTCGGTAGCATGTTCGGAGGCGACATAGCTGACGTCATTGGCTCACTCATCACGTCCTTGTGTAGTTGTTGGACTCTTAGGCACTAGGGGACGCTGCTGATGCCATTGGGGATGCTATCACATAGAGAGTATCATCTTAGCTGTTTTATTCCACAACTTGGCCCTTGGCATTCTTCCATGTCCACGTGAACTCTGTTGTCTACTGAACACTGTCTTTGGTTGTACAAGCTGAGACTGTCAACATGGACTTGCTGATCACCGTATTGTCGAACAGTTGTCGCCTATTTTTGCTTCTTAAACTTGGGTGACAAGTGCCCTAGCCTGACTAGCACAAGAGAGATGCTCTTCTGGTGCCGATGGTCTTGACTGGATGACCGCAGCGGCATCAGCCGTTATATCGAGTTGGGCTTGGGGCTCTGTGGTAGCGTGCGGAACCTGAGGTAGGGAAACCCAGAGTAAAGTCCTAGGATGTATGCATCTTCCGAGTTGGGAGAGTCTATCAGCTGCTACCGCCCCCGACTGAAGGAGAGCACTATGTAGGTAGTATTGGTTGATTCTGGCTGTCATTGTTACATATTGCTCGCCCGGCCTGACGGTGGGTAGATGTGTGCTGTTAAGTCGGAAGAGTCCGTGGTCTGAAGGGATATGTTATAACGTGGCTGTTTCAACGTGTCGTCTTTTCAGAGAAGTGGTTATGGCTAGTTCATCAAGTGTTTATGGCGATCCATCCACTCCACCGTCCATAGTGGATGGACCCTTTATACCCTTTCAACCCTTTATATATGTTCGAGAATGCTCTCTGGCATTCACAGGAACTTCGAATCGGCCGACCAGCCCACGTCGCCGTACGCAAACTCAAAACGGAGTTGCGAGCTCTTCGCGGAGACTTAGTCTCCTAGGCTCGAGATCTTCATGCTGTTGTACAACACTAGGCGTCACATTGTTATATGCTATTCGGAAGTCCTCGAGGGCGTTCCTGACATGGCCTGGGGCAAGTAGGGCGCTTTTGGTGGGCCTAGAATTCCCTCGAGGGCGACGTGAATCGATGGTGACAGGTTAATCGACGCTATAGAAAGTGGGCGTCCGATTGTAGGGATGGCCCTATGGTCCCGTTGCATCTCGCATTATTGCAAAAAATCATGCACGTATGGAGGAAGTACTGGCAGCCAAGTTCTGCCTGAGGGAAGCGTTACGAGAAGTGTAGAGTGTAAAAAGAAACGGTCCTGTTAGCATCCCTTGGTCAACTTGGGGTGGAGGGAATGTACCACACACTGGATGAGTTAATTTGGTCGGTGATTCGGCAGATGCCGGTTTAGCCAGGTGTACTGTGACGGCCTCTGTGGTCCAGTAGTCTCACGTGATATGTTCATAACTAGTGTTGACCAAAGACTTTCTGAAGCCCAGAGTGTGTGTACGCGAGGGGATACATGCGGCAATGGAGTGGTATAGGCAGAGCATGGCGTGCTGGAGAAGCCTGCATGATGATGTTGATGATTGACTCGGTGTTGGCTTTCTATGATTTGTGGTGTAGCGTTGCTTTGCGTGATGGACAGTAAAGGCCTATTTAGTTTTTGCTACCATCGAGCTGTTTAATATAATACCTCATACCATCTAAGCAACATGATATCGACGCTAGTCATCTTCAACCAGAAGGGTGACATTCTTATACTACGGCAGTACAGGGGCAACGTCTCGCGCTCGGAAGTCCAGGTCTGCTGCTGCTGTGGTCCGTCCGGTCGTGCAACAGTTTGGTCAGGCCTTTGGCAATAGAGTAATCGCGACCAAGGAGACCAGAGAGAGGGGCCCGGTGGTCACTGTAGGGTCGGCTCATTTCGTTAATGTCACATTTGGTGACATCACACTGGTTGCGGCTACGAAGGTGAGTATGTTCTTACGTGTTTCTGATTGTATCTTGTATTTGACGTGATCGATTTTTTCTGAAGGAGGCAAATGTTTTGATAGAAAGTTGGTATTGTCTGTTTGGTATTTTGGGTGACTCGATGACTCACGTTGAGTACATGTTCTTGTTGTTGTGGTTGACAGGACAACGCGAACTGCGCACTGATTGTGAAGTTCCTGTACAAGTTCGTAGATCTCTTGAGGGCTTATCTCGGTGGAGGTACCTTGGATGAGAACCAAATACGGAAGAACTTCGTCCTCATCTACGAACTTCTAGACGGTATGTGCTCCTTGGCATCGGCCGGCGGAGGTCTACTTGTTCTTTTCAGAGGTACTAGACTATGGATATCCACAAATCATGGAAGCGGACATTCTTAAAAAGTGAGAAGTTGAGGAAGATCTGTGCTCGTTATGACTATTATGATGGTCAGATATATTACACAAGGCTCGGCTAAGAATGTCGTTGATCTGAACGACACAGAACAGCTCAAGAAGATTACCGTGGCAGCAACAGGGGCGACTAGCTGGCGGGCTGAAGGCATCAAGTACAACGCATCCAACACGTGGTGGAGTTAGCGCTGACAGCGTCAACTGTGTAGATATAAGAAGAATGAGGTGTACATTGATGTTGTGGAGTCGGTGAACTGTCTAGTCTCAAGTCGAGGAACGTTGCTCAGAGCTGATGTAAGGCAATTGTTGTTGCTGTGGATGGACGAACTGGAATGGTGTCAGGTTCAAGGCCAGGTCATGGTCAAGTGTCAACTGTCCGGCACTCCGGAGTGCAAGTTCGGTATGAACGACAAGCTGGTGATGAATCACGATGGGCAATCATATGGTGCGGCGGCAGTCACTGGTAGGCTGCTGTGATCCGACACTCCTCTCTTCGCACATCTCTTTTTCAGGCGGCCCATCTAATGACAGGGGCATTGCATTAGATGACGTCAGGTGAGAAGGAGCTCATTTTCCATGTCGGTAGGCATTGTGGAAATTCAGGTTTCACCAGTGTGTCCGGCTCTCTAAATTTGACACTGAGCGGGCCATTACCTTCATCCCTCCCGATGGTGTGTTCGAGCTGATGAGCTACAGGATCACGGAGAATATTTCTTGCCCTTTCAAAATCACGCCTGTCGTAAGTTCGCCGTTGCTTTACTGTGGGTTTGTTCATGGACGATGGTCAGGTCATCGAGCGTGGTCGCAATAAAATCGAAGTCAATTTGAAGTTGAAGGCAGTTTTTGACAAGAGTATATTCGCCACTAATGTCGTGGTGAAAATACCCGTACCGAAGAATGCGGCTACGGCAAACATCCGGCAGTGTACAATGGGCAAGACCAAGTGAGTGACGAGTCGCTGTGCTGTGTATCTATTACGGTCTATGCAGATACGAGGCTACAGAGGATGCCTTGATGTGGCGAATAAAGAAGTTCCCGGGAATGGTTGAGTGAGTCCTCTATATATCACTCGATACTGGAGCATTCGAGGTTTTTGCCAGGGCGACCCTATTGGCTGAGGTTGATCTCGTATCGACGGTAGAGGAAAAGCCGTGGTCGAAGCCGCCAATCTCGTTGGACTTTGTGGTCCCGATGTTCACAGCGAGTGGTTTGCGAGTCCGCTTCCTTCGGGTAAGTCTCAGTGGTTTCGGAGTGCGCCGTTTGTGGAAGTCGTGACTGGCCGCCCTGTGGCTCTGCTGGAAAGAGTTACTTATTGTTCCTGTCAGGTTCAAGAGAAGAGTAATTACAAGCCAGTGAAGTGGATACGGTACATAACGAAAGCTGGTCAGTACGAGTATCGTATATAGGCAAGAATGCTGATGTAACCACTGAAGGATGTTTCGCTCGGCCTTTGCTGTCACCATTGCCATTGTTTGCATTCAAAGGGTGCATCCGTCAGGATGAGGTGCGGACCACGGCACTGTTCCTAAAATGATCGCTTTCTTCACCCACGAATGGTAACAGTGTTAGTCGATTGTTCCTGGGAAGACATGGGAGGAACTCAGTTTCTATGTCACTACAGGAGTCAGAGCGGGAGTTTGCAGGCTGCATCTTGCAGCTGTAGAGCGATAGCATTGCCGGGTCGGAGTTATCGGCTATCGATAGGCCCCGTGACGCGTGTGGTGAGCAGGCCTACAGTGTAGAGATGCCGCGGTTCATGGACACGTCCCACGATGGGTGTGCTTCATCTGTTTCGAGGCAAACGACAAAGGAGTTCATTGACTATCACTTCTCATCCAAACATCTCCTCAGTTGAGATCGGGTCCCCACGGATTGTGGTTTCACTCTGATCCATGTTGCGTTCTTCAGTGGTTCTGCACTTGTTCTAGCAATGCACCACACGCTCGAACTCAGTATGTGGTTCACAGATCTCCCGAGGTAGATCCTGTACTGATATACGATTCATGCTAAACGATGAACGTGTTGAGATGAATTGTCGAAAGATACTGTATGAAAGATTCTCAAACTATGGATGTGCCGAGAATCGAACTCGGGGCCTTCTGCATGCGAAGCAGACGTGATACTTCTACACCACACACCCGATGA